TCTAGCAAATGTCATTTCAATCTCCAGATGTTGACAAAGAGCGTCTCCTTTCTCAAGTTCCAACCTTAATTGCATTATTTCTTTTTCCTAGCGAGATATTTAGAAAATAAATATTTCAGAAACTGCATTCATAGCTTCGATCTTATCCCATCTGATTTTGAAATACAGTCTTGAAACCACCCATTTTAGATACTTTTTTTTTTAATGCAAACTGATCCTGTTCCTAGATCATTTTCATGTACCTTAAATGTACCTCTCTGTTTTTCCAAACATGCTCTGCTTTAAGAAAATAAAAGCTACAATTATATTCCACAGGCAATTTTATGGTAGCTGTATTTAGCAACCAGAAAAGCAGTTGAGTTGGGATTCTAGATTATCAGACACCTAGGAACTCACTGTGTAAACACAAACTTCAGTCCAATGATGTTCAGCAGTCAAGCAGAATGCTATTAAACACAACAAACAAAACAAAGAAATGGAAGAAAGTGTTTTTAGGAGGCTCTTGGCCACCAAAGGAGAGTTTGAGCAATGGGATTATTTCCCAAATGACTGTGTCAGGAACTGGAGTCGTGTCCCAGGCCCTGCCATATTTGATCCATGTTTGAGCAGGTTGACAAGACAATGAAGAAAAGTGTCTTGTATAACAGGTGACCCTTGAAAGAGAAACAATCTATTGGTCAATCGGTGAGCAGTCAAGCTTTGAAAGGGGAACAGTGCATAATGGAGCCCTTGGTGGCAGGGAGTCATGGAGTCATCCTGAGCCATCATCTCACAGCCAGCCATGTGTGAGCTGATGCTGTAACTGGGAAAATGGCACTCTTGAGCAGGAGATACAAGGCCTGGTTCTGAGCTGGAAGGGTGAGAAGGATGAGATGCACACTGTTTTAATCCAGGGGATGTCCTGGAAGTGCACTGCCTACCTTCCCCGGTGCCGAGCACCACTCGCCCTAGCTCCTTCTTCTGCTTAGTGGACTTTTTGGGAATCCAGGGGTTGGTATGTATTATTTGCTACTGCAATTAATGGAATAAATTTGCTTTGCAAGCTCAGTTGCGTCTTAGGTTCTTTTGTGCACGGGTCTCCTCCTGAACCTGTGGCAGTGATCACCAGGGACCTACAGGACACTCCTACCCTGATGCCAATATATTCTGAGAAGTGATTGAAATATGTCAAGAAATCTGGGGTAATGTTTAGCTTGGGAGTTTCAGCAAAGTATTGAACATGTCTTAGTTCCATGCATACAAACTGGTAGGTGAGATTGCTGGCTGTGCAGGCCTTAGGGAAGTGATTCCCTGTGCACCCAGCACTGAAATAAAGTGATGCCTCCTTTCTAACCCTCAGTTGGCAGCAGGGATCAGGCCCTGCTTGGAAACTTTCATTTTGGCAACTTCTGTTAGCAGGTAAGAAAGGTCAAAATGAAAGCTTTTCCAGCTGTTTTCCTCTGGTTGATCTTTTTAGGCACCAAAGTTCTGTGCCACACGTTGCCTGGGTGTGTGCAGAGAAATGCAGCCCCCACAAATGCCTTGGTTTCCCCACGAGTTGCCAGGTTGACTGCTTCCAAAGGGGAAGAAAGGCAGAGATGTACATCCACAGGAGTCCTGGCCATGTCCAATAAATGTGCAAACATGTGGGGGGATATGTTAGGAATGATTTCAGCTGTGATGCCAACAGTGCCTTCTCTCCTGGTTCTGTGCATTATAGGTGAGTAATGTAATAGTTGGCTCTCACAATTAAGAGATAGCTATTATGTGGACAGATATTATGTTCAAATGGAAAGTGCTGTTATTGTAATATGTCCTCCCATAGTCCTCTTTCTTATCCCCCTTGTAATCGCCTTGGTAGTCAGGACATTTGGAGAGGGCTGGCTTGTGACCAGCAGGAGCGGTGTAACAACCCCTGACCTCCAATCAAGGTGCAAGTAATCTCCACCAATGGACAGCAGAGAAAGAGTTGACTGACAAAACTTTTGCAGGGGCTAAGGGTATGAAAGGCAGAGCATCCCTTTTGTAAATGAGGATGTGGCTGCTAATCATGGAGACTCCCAGTGATGCAATCTTTCCTTATTCAGTCCTTTCTAAAGGTTTAATAAACCTTTAAAAAGTTAAAGGAAGGGTTGTTTCTCAGATGGGCAATGCTTTAGCCCATTTTCTTGCTCTGGTTTCCTTTGCTTGTGTCCCATCTGAGTGCAGGCTCAGATGGGGTACAGGCTGTAGGTGCTTTGTGCACTCTTGGAGTTCCTCTTGGATCCCTTGAATGACAGGCTTTGGCCCACAAGGGGAATTTGTGCTGCTTTGTGACAGAGGAGAACTTCCCAGGCTCTTTTGTGTTTGCTGTAAGGAAGGTTGGTTAGTGCTTGGCAAAATCTCACAGAGCAACATGGAGCGTTTGCTTTGTGATGTCAGGGCATGGTTGCCACATTGTCGTGGTGACATCAGAAGGGTGCCTTGGTGCACGGAAGGCCTGAGTGTCAGAGCAGCCCTAGCGCTTGCTCAGTTCAGGAGAATCCTCCTGGCCAAGGCTTTTGTTAGTGGCCTATTGCACACTGACGGGAGCCTCGTTTTTTCTACCGGGTGCGCGCAGCCTGCAGACTTGCAGGCCACTATCACAATGATTGAGCGACTGGCACCTGTCCTTTTCGCCGCATATGGCGTCACTTATGGTGCCTATTTCCTTACACACTTTGCACGTAAGTAGATGTTTCCTCTTCTGCTTAGGTTAGGGTGTAACCTAACCTGGCTTTTGTATGTCTTCCTGCTCTTTCTTAGTGACTGAGTTTCTGCTTTTGAAACAGAAAGAGCATTAGGATGCCACTGCTTTGGTCAAGCTCCTGTCAAGGTGTTCAGCTAAAAAGGGGGTGTCTGTAGCCACAGGGGCAGCATTTGCCAGGCAACCTGCAGGGCTTCTGTTCCCTCCACGGGAGAGTCTGTGGCAGCAGAGTCTGTCATTTCCTCAGTTTGCTGGAACAAGCAAGACACCTTGGAAAATGTAGCCTGGCAGACCTTCTTGAAGGCCTTCTAAAAACTCTGCAGTTGTTCCCAGAATTCAGGGAAAGCTTCTTTCTTTCTCAATTTTGTCATGAAGGGATTTGACTGTCTAACTTGACCTTTTACCAAGTGCTTGAATAGTGATTCCCTTTGCAAGGAAGTACAACCGCCAAAGCAGTGAGCATCTACCACAGCTCAGGGGAATTTTGGGGAAGCTTTTCTGGGCAACTGTTTCCAGCAAGTAAATGAGAATTAGTGCATGCAACTGATTAAAAAAAAAAGATCCGAAGAAGAGGATTTAAAAAGCCGTTTTATGTGTTTTCTAGAAGAGGAGCATTGAGTGTTAAAGAACAATTTGCATTCTCTTGGTCATGTTTGTAGCCATTTACTGGCTCAACAGGCCAAAGTGTAGGCACAACCAAGAATATTGACGTGGTCTCTTGCTGGCTGTGTGAATGAAATGTGTCAAATGTGTCTCTGGGAGGGATGTTATGAAATGGGAAATCACCTCTGTTTGGGTTGACTTGTTCTGTGGGATTCAGCAGCCCAGGCAGTTTTCTGACAGCATCTGGTTCATTTCCCCTGCCCACTACAGGTCACCTGAGGTGTGTATTCAGAGGTGCTGATCCTGAGGTGAGTGAGAAAGGAACATTTCCTGTTCCTGGTGATTAAGAATTGTAGAGCAAGCTGAGAGCTTGGCCAGTAGCAATAGAATGTAGAGCTAGGAAGGCTGAATATAAATCCATTTTCATGCCTGCAACAAAAATAACAAAGCCAGAGATGGATATTATTAAATTTCCATCTCGGAGCTTTGAAGAACTAGAAACCTACTTTTGCAGAGAGAACCTTGCTTGCTGATAACAGATAGGGTGGAATATTTACTTAGGATCAATTTCCTTTACAGTTGAATTAGACCATTTTAATTTAGTCAGAGTGCCTTAGAATACTGTTCCTATCAAAATTTATGATATCTATTTAGAAGATGTCATTGTAGAACAGGAAGGCCATCTTGCAATGGTGCCTGCTGTATCTGAAGTGAAATGGGCACCTTTGTGGCTGGGGAGCTGCGTGGGCCAAAAGGAGCCAGGGTTGCTGCTGGCCTTGATCAGCTGAAGATGAGGCAGCGTGTGGCCAGGTGGCCAAGAAGGCCCAGGGCATGGTGGCCTGTGTCAGCAGCAGTGGGGCAGCAGGAGCAGGGCAGTGAGCGTGGCCCTGTGCTGGGCAGCGCTGGGGCCACAGCTGCAGTGCTGGGTGCACTTGTGGGCCCCTGGGCAGCAGAAAGTCCTTGAGGGGCTGCAGCGCGTGCACAGAAGGACAGGGGAGCTGGGCAACGGCGTGCAGCACAAGGCCAGTGAGGAGGTGCTGAGGGAGCTTTAGCCTGGACAATGGGAGGCTCTTGAGGGACCTTCAGGCAAACTTCCATCCATCCCTGCGTGACAGTGCTCAGCACAAGGGCTGTTTCACCGCCAAACATCCCCTCACTGCATCCAAGGGCTTGAGACATTGCAGCGGGTGACACTTCCATCTTGTGGTTTGTTGGCTCGTAGTTTTGTTAGGAAGAGAAGGCCTGTTCATTTTCCTGTTTTTCCAGCAAGTAAAGATGCTTCTGTACAATGTTTCCAGCCCTTTTGTAGCCCTGGATGGCATTCTGATTCAGCCTGAGTTTTCCACGTCTGCAGCAGCAGTAGCAAAGGCGTTGCTGTCGCTTTCCTACTTTTCCATTTCAGTGCTTTCAAGAACTAAAAGCTCCCTTTTGCCAAGACAACCTTGCTTGCTGATAGCAGCCAGGGAGGAATATTGAATTCATAGCTACATAGAATTCCATTGAATTAGCCCATTTGAATTTGGTTGGTGAGGTTGGTGTGACTTAGAATCCCATTACCAAAAAAATGTATGATTTCTCCTTAGAAGATGTGCTGGTAGATGTGAAAAGACATGAGGTTCTAAATGATAGGTAACAGCCTGTCCCTCATGCTTCTCTCTTGCCACAGGTGACAGAAGCAAGAGCCGTCTCTCCCCTGGCTCCCGCTGCTCCTGGAGAAGAAGCCAAAGAGGAGCAAACTGAGGTGGATGACCGCCAGCCTCCAGTGGTCACACCAGAGCCTGGATATTCTGGAGCTGTAAGTGCCAGTTGGGTGTGGTGCTGTCTTTAGTGCAAGGCAGAGCTGCAAGGTTTGGAGCAGCCAGCACTTTGCTGTTGCTGGCTGAGGATGCTGGGTGCTGGAGTCCTGCCAGGAGCTTGGGACTTCCTGCAGGCAGTGACCGCAGAACGTGGCCTTTGAGCTGTCATGTTGAGGCAGCAAAGGGCTGGTGCCTGTGGGAGAGCATCTGGCTGCTTGGCTCAGGGAAGCTCTATCGCTTGGCTTCTGCAGTGCTATGGCCAAGGGCAAAGGAGGGAGTGCTGGAGGTGCCAGGCCTTGGTTTGTTTGTTTTCCCTTTCTGGAAAGGTGTGTTTGGCTTGTGAAAGCGGTCAGCACTTTCCTTGAGTAGTTCTTCACTTGTACAGTCTCTTTTGGGCCAGCTGTCTTTTGGCTTTTGATAAGCTGCAAGGGGATGATTGTGTTGTCCATGCAGCTGTGGGGGGCCATTCCTGTCCCGCGTCGCCAAAGAAACAAAGTGCGGAGTCGCGAAGCTTTCTTGTGAAGCCAAAAGCAGAAGCGGCCAGTTTCTGTTGATGCATCTTTTGCTGCAGTCTGCAGCTTTGGCAAGTGCCTCTGAGCCTGGAGTGGGGGTGAAACTGCAAGTCCTTGACAGCTGTCTTGTGTTGCTCAGAAGAGGAAGGCCATCGTACAATGGTGCCTGCTGTATCTGAAGTGAAATGGGCACCTTTGTGGCGGGAGAGCTGCGTGGGTCAAAATGCTGGTTAGAATTCTCAGTTGACAAAAGAGGGAGAAGAAACACCTTGGTTCTCCTCCATATACTGAGGTGGCCATAGAGTTTCTCTGACATCTATCAGAGGATCTTTGCACACATTCTTATCTCCTGAATGACCAGGATTTCTTACAAGAGTATAGATGTCAGGTATGCAGGAATGCTGGTGCAGGCCTGAAATGAACTTGAACTGCAGAAGTGTCTCTCACAAGGGCTGAGCTCACCCAGGAAGCCAGCTGCAGAGCCAGGATGGAGCTGTGGAAGAGGGTGGGGTGTCAGTCACTACTGAAAGACAAACAGGACATGGCAGAAGCAGAGGGAGGCCCTCAGCAGACTCTTGAGAAATGCCACACCTTCCCTGTCAGCTGCCTGAGAGGCTGTTGGAGCTTCAGTCCCAGATGGCCCCTGATTGTAGGGCCAGGGTCACTTTGGAATCTGTGCCTCTCCTCAAACAGAGAATGACCCAGCAGAGCAGCAGCACAGTGCTTTGGGAACGTGTGAGCCCAGCAGTCTTTGAGTCTTGGCCCACAAAGGTCGTGTGGGAAGTTGGAACCCATCTTCTCTTGCTTTCTGTGCAGGTGCTTCTAGAGAGAGAGCAGGAGCAGATTGCTTCATCAGAGATGCCATGGCAGACTCAGGGAGAGCTGTTCCCAGGCCGAGAGCAGGAAGAGCAGCTCAGGCAGCAGGTGGAAGAGCCACAGGAGAATGGCCAGGTAAGCCTGACTGGCCAGGGGACAGAGGGAAGGGCAGGAAGAGGGGCATAAAACCAGAGCTCTTGGGACTGAGGAGGCCAGGAGTCCCACAGGTACTGGAAGCACAGAGCCTTGGAATCTGCAGAGATCAGCCCTGGGACAGGAGGCTTACAGTGGAAGCAGATGTGGGGAGGAAAGCAGAAAGAAGTGGCTGAATAGATGTGATTTTAAGGCTGCAAGAGGAAAAAGCTGAGCCTGATGGCAGCTCCCAGTCACTTGCTCTGCATTTGTGTGTACAGAAGATGAAGGCAGAGCCACAAGCAGAGCTGCCCGAAGCTCAGAGTGACATCATGGACGTGAAGACAAAGAATAAGGAAGACATGGGAAGAATTCAAGAGGAGAATCTCCATCAGCAGAGGAGCGATCAACAAAACCAGGTGAGTGAAAGAGTGGCAGCCACTCCACTCATGAAATGTCCTCTCCCTTCTCCTTTACAGTCTATCAAGGGACACATGCAGGCAGAACTGCAGGACCCTGAGGCTAGCAACAAGGTAAGGGAGAAGAGGCTGGAGGAAGAAATTAAAATTTTCAGAGAGAAACCTAATCACCTCCCTCAGGCTCTAGAAGTGAGTGAAAGAGGGATGCAGTCACTGCAGTGACCAAGCTGGTGGTTTCTGTCCTTCTTGCCTTTCCACTCAGAGCAGCAGGGAGTGGGGCCATGCCTCTGAGTGCTGTCCTGCTGTAGTGTGTATCACAGTCACTCTGAAGGACATTTCCTGGTGTGCTGAATCTCCACTGCTGCCATGGAGAGAGGGACTTGTCCTTTGGCCTTTTGGCCAGCAGTCATCCAAATTGATTCCTGCTCTCCTTGTTTCTTGAGGTGTTTTTGCAGTGGAACGTGGTGACCCAGATGGAGGATTGGAACAAGCTGTCTGTATCCTCTGTCAATCTGTTCTTTGTCTTTTCTCACAGTTGATGACTCCTGGCTGACAGGGACAAGCTGTAGTGTCTGACTGCTTTGTTGTGTTTGACTTGAGGTGCAAGTGTTGACGTCTCACCGGGCAGCCTGCGAAGACTTCCAGCAAATGTCTGGCAATGAAGAGCCCCAAGTTTGGAGTGAGGCACAGGAACAGTGCCCACCAGAAATGCTTCAGGTGCAGCACATCATGGGCTCTGAACCTGCTGCCGCAGCAGCATCACCTCAAGGAAGCCCTTCAGTCAAACCTGGGACCTCAAGCTTGGGCAGTTCCTTTGTCTCTCCAAACCAGGAGACTGAGGAGAAGTACCTGGAGATGCTGGGTACGTCTGGGGGGTTTCTTGCCTGAGGGACAGTGTGTTGTGTGCAGGTGTCAGCAGAGCTATACCAGATGCTCTTCCTGAGTTTGGTGTCACAGGGCCATTTAGGACTCCCCAGAGGAAGTGCTGTGCTCCGAGGCAGTGAGAGAGCGCTCTGGGTGTTCCTGCTGCCTCTGAGGGCACCTAGGACTGGCTTGGGTTTGCCTGAGCTTCCCTCTCCACTAAAGGCTGAAGCAAGGATTGTTCTTGGATCAGCATAAGGCTGTGACCTAGCAAATGATCTAGGCAAATCCTGTGTGCTAGTGGCCACACTGAACAGAATTTTTAGCTTCCTATATTCTCCTTAGACTCCTGACTTCCAACCAGTCATCAGAGCAAAAAAAACTTCACAGAAATGGACTGGCTTTGGAATTTTGTCTTTTTGGTTGGGGATTTTTTTTTGGGGGGGGGGGCAGGGTGCGGGTTGTTTATGTGCTGTTTATTTTTTGTGGGGGCCTTTTGGTTTTTTTGTTTCTGTGGGTTTTTTTTGTTGTGTTTTGGGTTTTTAAGGTTGATGGTTTGTGGAGTTGTCCATCCTGAAAGAGCCCTTCTGCCCCACATCTTACTGATGACATTTTTATGACTGTTACAGTTACCACTACTACATCTGCAGTTTATTTTCATGAGAATGCTATATTTTTTGTCAATAAGAGAATGCAATATTGTTGTCAATAAAAACTACTTTGAAAGAATATCACGTTACAGGACAAATAGAGAGCACGAGGTGTTTTCCATGTGCCCCCAAAGAAAAAAACAATTCTTTTAGAACAACCTTTATTTAATCTATTTTTCTGCTTATCAAGATGTGTCCAAGAGACACATCCAAGTGGTGTGATCAGATAAAACTTTACTGCATGCATTTCTCAGGAGAGAGCCTCCAGCCCAGCCATGGTCTATTCCTCAGATCAATGGCACTTTTCCATACCCAATTCCCACTCTTTCCCATGACTGTTAGAATCCTAGCCATTGGCCCAAGCCCTACTCAGATCAGTCCCTAGGAAAACACATCAAGTCCTTTGTGATTCTGCAGCACAGCCCAATCAATCTGCTTCTTGCCCGGAACAGCTGCCAGTGCTGTGCTCTCAGATAAGACCTGGTGGGGCTGAGACCACAGCCCGGTGGATTCTGTGTCTACCATCACCTGTTGGGACAAAAAGGGCATTGATCTGCGCCTCGGTGGGGCTGATCTCAAAGCCCATCCTCGTGTGTCCTGAATGGGGGCAACAGCTTGTACAGGGGCTCAGGCTCACTCTGGCTTCTTCCCATCAGTGCCTGTCAGTGCTCATGCTTGGGCTTTGCCAGCCTTGTTGTGCTGGCTGCCCTGTCCCTGAGGGTTGCTGGGACTACAGAGGCTGGAGCCATCCTTAGCTGGGAGAGGGGCATCTTTGAGCTCAGCCTGCTCATAAAGAGGTGAGGGTCCTGATGCTGAAAGGCCCGTTGGGATTAGCTCTAGCTGCTCTGGTTTACAAATGGGAAGGCATTCTTTTGGCAAATTGCTGAAAGGTGGAGAAGATCTCCTCCTCTCCTGGAAATGCATCTCCCTGTGCTTTCTTTCCTATCAAGAGAACTCTTCAAAGGACTGTACAAAATCAGTCTCTGTGCCAGCCATCTGTACTGCAGGGCTGCCTGTCCTGTTGCTGTTGTGATTGTTGTTACACAGCCGACCACAATGGGCTCAGAGCCCCAGAGAGTGGGGCTGCCTTTTGTATCTCCTGGAAGCTGGGATCTCTGCTTTAAAGTCAGCATCTTGCATTTTGTTTCCCTCAGGGAGAATGGTGAACCCCAATGATAATCCTGTGAAGAAGTACACTGAAAAGGAACAAATTGGCAGCGGGTGAGTCCAACCGCAGTTACTCCTGCACAACCATGGGACAGGTGTTTTTCTGGTGGAATGTCTATCCAGCGTGAAGTCAGGCCAGCTGCAAAGATGTTCACACACTGGGCATAGATTGTCCCATCTCTCAGTGCTGCTCAGAATTTGTGAGTGGGCTCAGAAGGCATTGTCAGTGACATCTCCATGCTGCCAAGGTCTTGCCTGCATCAAAGAACAGGACCTGGAAGATCTCCTTGTCTCTCAAGAGTGGGAATGCTCTGTGTTCATTTCTTTAGCATTTTTGTATGTCTTAAAATCATAATGCCACACCAATGAAAAAAGGAAGTAACTTGCTTGCCTGAAAGAGCAAGGTATCCCCTATCAAAGCTGTGAGATAAAAGTTGCCAGGAACATTCCTTTCCCCTGGTTTGCAGAAGGAAAGTCTCTGTTGCCAGGATAGGAATCACACAGTTTAGAAAGTGAAACCCAAGAGGAAAGACTAAACTCCCTTTAGAAGTTGAACCCCAGTGCTTCAGGAACAGGCTCAGTGCCCATGCACTTGAGAGGAAAATGCATCATCTGCCTTCTGGCAGAGCCCTCCTGCATCCTCTGCAGGTTTTGACACTTCCAGCAGAGATCTCCTGTGTGGGCTGGCTTTCACTCTAGGAGCTAAACAGCTTCTCCTTTCTCTGCTTCTGTTTTGTTTCTAGGAGTTTTGGACATGTGGTCAGAGCACTCAACAATGCCACAGGAGGAGAGGTAAATGTCAACAGGCCCTGCAAACTCTGCTGCTCTTGAGGGGCTTTCCCCTCTGGTGTGAGCTGTGGCTGGAGCTTTGGGTAGAGCTGTGCTGAAAAGGCACAAGAAGCACAGACTGCTGCCAGCCTGCAAAATACTTTTGGGACTTTGTCCTCCTCAGCTGCCAGAAGGAAGGCACGGAGGGCAGCGGTTCCTTTCAGAGAAGGACGCGCTCACTCGCTCTCCATTGCTAAAACAAAGGTGGTGCCTTTGAGCACCTCACTGCTCTTTGGGGCTACAGCTTCAGAGTCCTGAATTCTCATTTCTGGCTGCCAGCAAATACATCTGAAAGTTCCTGGTAGTTCCTTAGCCACCTGCAGTGCAGCACTTGGGAACTGCACGGAGGGAGAGATCTGCAAGGTGTCCCTAAAAGCCCTAAGCCCTGCCCATAGGCCAAGATGTATCCACAGAGTATTAAGGCATGGATTACTTCTTCTGAATCCCATCCAAAGCAGCAGAGAGTGTGGTCAGAGGTTTGCCGGTGATAGCTGAGACACCACTGTTACCAAGTGGTCAAGGCAAAATGTCAGTGGCCCCACGTGTGCTGTAACTGGCCCCCAAAGGAGCAGAGAAATGGGCTGTTGGAATGTCAGTTCCTCATGACTGCAGTGCCTCATCACAAGGCAGTTTGGCAGAGCTCAGCTGTGTCATTGCAAAATCACTCGCTCCATGTGCATTGTGGTCTCGTGCCACCAACTTCTCGAGTTACTGATTTTCAATGTCATTTTAGGTGGCCATAAAGAAAATAAATCTCCAAGGACTGAGGAAGAAGCAACTAACCATTAATGAAATCATGATCATGAAGAGGTATAGAAGTCCCAATGTTGTGAATTATTTAGACAGGTGAGACGTCTTCCTCTTATCCCATCAATGGGCATTTACATACAGCAAACATGAGAGGTAAAAACCCACTTTGGTCAGTGGCAGAAAGTAGAGCTGTTAATTTTTATTTATTCATATTTCTCCATTCATCTCCAATGGATGAGAAAGGAGTGCATCTTGTCTGCATGAGTCTTCCCTGGCACACCTAGTTTGAAAATTATTCCAAAATTATTCAAAACCGGGATCAGCTGTATCTTCCTAAGTCAATAGCCTCAAAGTACACTGCCTCCACATTTTTTTTGCCTAGATTTTCTAAAGTTTCTTAAATGCCGGTGAGCCATCCTAAAGTGATTTTCCCCTGGATTGTTACGTTGCCCCTCTTTGCCATTGCTGTGCATGCCAGGAAGACGAGGTGCTTATTTCCAGAAACACCATGCCTGACAGGTTTTTACCTGGGCTGTTACTAAACTGCATTTTTCACTTGCTGGCCATCTAAGACATCTTCTTTTTCACAGCTGTGCCTTTCTCCTCCAGACTGCACAGATTGCAGATTGTCTATTCCTTTGATTCTGCCCTTGTCACAAAGGCACCTGGAAACAAGAAACCTGGAGGCAAAAAGTCAAGCTAGCCATGCATGTTTATCTCCATGCCCTTGTTTCCTTCTTTCAGCTACCTTCTGGGCGAGGAACTCTGGCTGGTTATGGAGTACATGGATGGAGGCGCCCTGAGTGACGTCATCAGCAAGACCTACCTGTCTGAAGTCGAAATGGCAGCCATCAGTCGGGAGGTCAGCAATCCCATCTGTGCTTCCAAGGGCTTGGGCAAGATTGTCTGGGGAACGGGGGTTCAGATCAGGAGGCATTTCCTGTTCCAAGCTTTGTTTCTGTGTTGCTGGTATGCTATGGGCAAGTAAAAGCACCTCAAGTGAAAGGCCTGCCAGTGCCCCTGCACTCCCTGTACTCAGTGCCTGTACTCTTATCTCCTGCTGTTGTACTCTCGCTCTGTCTCTTGTATTTGCTGTTCTCCATCTTGCCTTGCTAAACTTTTGCCTGTCTTCACTGCATTCCTTGCCTGTGAAAGCAAAGGTGCTGGTGGCAGGATTTGAAACAAACAGCAAAGAAAAAAAGAGAGACTCATTTCTCTCAGTCCTCAGCTAAAAAGGACAGGAGTGCAACCCGAATGCTCTTTGCTTCTGAGCACATGCACTGCAGCAGCAGTCATTCTGGCTGGTTTGCAGGGGACAGCCTACAACAGCAGGTGCTGTTGCTCTTTCAAAAGCTGACGTGCCTTTCCTCAGAAAGGACCTGCTCTGCAAGTGTTGGAGCAGCAAGCTCTTCCTCTCAGTGGCACTGTGTTCTGCCATTACTCCCCATTCCCCTGGAGAGGGAAACTTTTAGATTCTTTGTTTCCTTTCTGGTGTGATGAAATCCCATCACTCATTTTTGTCCCCCTTTTCCTGTTTTCTTTCTCAGTGCCTTCAAGGACTGGATTTTCTTCATTCAAACCACGTGATCCACCGAGATGTGAAGAGCGACAACATCCTTCTCAGAACCGACGGTTCTGTCAAGCTGGGTCAGTATATTCTTGGTCAGGTGCAGCATTCCAGGGATGTGGGTGTGGGGCTGCTTGGAGTGACAGCCAGCTCCCCAAAAATGGTGCTGGTGGCAGTGCAGGGACACCTGCTGTGAGCTGAGGGCACAGTTGCAATGTGCACAGAGGTAGGACAAGGAACAAGCAGTCAAGGGTGGCCTTGTTCTGTGTGTGTCCCTTGCAGAGGGAGGGAGTTACAAGTCGAAAGCTTCCAAAGAACAAAAGCCACTGCTGGAGGCAGTGTAAAAAATGGGGGGATTTTTTAAGTTGCCAATGCCAGGAGATTCAACAGCACATTTTCAAACTTCTACTGGGGAATTCTTTTGCTTGCTTTCCTAATTGCACAGAATTGAAATAAAACCAGTATTTTGCTTTCTCCTCAGCTGATTTTGGCCTCTCTACTCAGCTCACCCCTGAGAAGAATAGAAAGAGCGTGATAGCCGGGACTATTTGGTGGATGGCGCCTGAAATGGTGAAGGATCAACCATATGGCCCCAAAGTGGATGTATGGTCTTTTGGAATTGTGGGGATTGAAATGGTAGATCAAGAACCTCCTTATTGCAACCAAAGTCCTTGCACGGTAAGGAGCAAATACTCACTGATCCCACTGTCTTTCTCGCTTGTCCCATGTCCTGTGTTGGACATTGGACAAAATCCCATTGCCATCTGCTGGAACTACTTCCACCAAGGTCCCCTCCTAAAAATGTCCCTGCAACACATCAGCATCTGCTGTAGATTTGGATACATCAGTGGTTGAACTCAAGCCTTACCATATGCAAACAAACTCCATTCTCAGGCAACATTTTCCTTTGGGTTATTAGTGGTTCCAGTTCTTTTTTCTGTGGAGATGGCCCCAGTAACAGGAAACAAGCACCTTAGAACTGCTGTTATCTTTCCATAAATGAAGGAAAGAAACCCAAATCCAACAAAGTTTCTAAAACTGTGATTTTTAGAAAGGAGCCTAATGCACCGTGCAGTTTCTACTCACTGGGAAACATGCCTGAAACCTGGGCATGAGGGTGTAAAGGACACAGAGTCTCTTCTGCTTCTTGTGCAGTGCTGCTGAAACACTCAGTGACCGTGTTTCTCTCCTAGCCCAAGGCACATTCTCTGTGTAACCAAGCCAGAACCTGGTGATGTGGAGAGCCTGCCAAAACCTCCCAGTGTTTCCTGGCACTTTCTGGGATGGGCCTACCATTAATGCATTGACTTGAGTAGCCAAATGAGCAGAGGGTGACCATAGGGATGGCACCTCTGCTCCTTCTGACCATGACAATTTTCTTTTGCTGAAAAATGGGAAGCTGAAATTTTCAGACTGCTGAGAGACAGAGCTGCAGGTGGCTCCTGTGTGGCCAAGCAGGCATTTTCATCCCAATACATTTGTGCAGGCATCTTAATGTGTCTGTGTTGAAGATGAGATTGTAAATGTTTGTTTCCTAACCTGAGGAATATGTGGTGGATTTCCTTTCTTTCCTTCCAATTCCCATTGTTTTCAAGAACAGCACAAAAAGCTTGATGAGTTTTGTTCTATGGCATCTGTGCTTAAGGGACCAACAAGCACTGCAGAGATGCCTTTCATGTACTAACCCTTGAAATTAATTAGTATAGCAAAGTCCCTCTTCCAAAAAGCCTCTCAAGCTGGTGTGAATCCTCAGAGAAGCAAATGTGCTTTTGCTGATGTACTTCCCACTAACTAGGTCAGTCAATCAAATCAGCTGCCAAGGCAAGATCTGCGGGATGGTGGAAAAGCTGTGGCTGCATCAGGGTTTGGGTTTTTGGTTGGAAAAGGAAAATCATCTCTAGGTCTCTGCCAGGGCAGAAACTACCAGTGAAGAACAGAGGTTAAACAAAGGATGTGGGAGAGCACTTAGAGATGTGAAAGCAGCAGGTGGAGCCTCGTGGTTTTTTTTTTTTATCCAGGCTAAATGCCTGATAGCCACAGTAGGGACCCCAAAGCTGCGACAGGCCAAGCACCTCTCACCTTGCCTGTGTGACTTCCTGAGCTGCTGCCTGCAGACAGATGAGGAGCAGCGCTGGTCGGCCAAGGAGCTCCTGAAGGTAAAATGTGAAGGGGCTGCAGGTGAAACAGGCTCTGAGGGATGGGCTCCTCCTCCACTCAAGTTCAAAGCATCAGATGAGCCCCCTTCCTCCTCACCTCCACTCTTGGAGCTCTTCAAGTGAAAAGGTGAGGAATCCTAGACTGGGCTGGGCTGGCAGGGCCCTGTAAATGTCCTGTGGTGCAAGTGTGCTGCAATGAGCAGGGACATCTTTAAAGAGATCAGGTTGCTCAGAGCCCTTTGCCACTTGACCTGGAATGGCTCCAGGGATGGGGCACCTACAAGCTCTTGGGGCAAGCTGTGCCAGGGTTGCACCATGCTCCAAGTAAACAAGTTCTTCCTTAGACCTACTCTGATTAGATCTCCTTTGTGTTTAAAAATATTCGCCCGCCTCCTATTCTAAGTGGCCCAGTAAAAAAAGCTATCCACCACTTTCTTCAAAACCACTCTGAAGTCTTGGAAAGTGGCAATAAAGTCCCCCTGGGGCCTGTTGTTCACTAAATTGAATAATTCCACTTCTCTCTGCATTTCCTGAGAATTGACTGTGGGGAGGAGGGGCTTTGGGGGGCTCACTGGGAGCCTCTGAGGGGCCCTGGTTTGTGCCCCCCAGCCCACCCTTAGAGGTTTCTGGCATACAAACAGGGACAGCTGAGAGGGACTTGTCCCAGCCCCATCTGCTGCCTGGCACGCCCAAGCAGACGGGAACTGTGCCAGGGTTACTGCCAGGTTGTGTGGCAGAGAGGGAACTGCAGGGCCCAGTGCCACTGGGCTGGCCCTGCTGGGAAGGAAGGTGCCATCCAGCACACGAGGGGCAGGGCGTGGAAAGGTAGACACTGCTCTGTCTCCCTGTGGGAATCAGCACAGTGCCTGTCTTGCAAAGGCAGGGACCTATGTGAGTCATTGGAGTTTCCTGCAAGGAAGAAACACCAGGGACAGGAAGCACCATTTCTAGAGCACTGGCAGGGCAAAAATCCCAGCAAGAATGAAGATATCACAATAAACCAATGAGTGGGATTCTGGGCCACCTTTGCCTATGATGGCAAGTTCCTGCACATGACAATTGGGGAGGAGATGGTCCCATTCTTCTCCTTTCTGGGTCTTTCTAGGAACTAGAGGAATCATGATTGAGGCTGTGAAGCACTGAGCTTGGAAAGTCATGGTTCACTGTTCTTTGTTGTTTTGTTGTTTTTTTTCCTGTGGACAGCATCCATTTGTACGTTCAGCCAAGCCAGCGTCCAGCCTGGCACTACTCATCAACTCAGTCAAGAAGAGGAAGTAGGAGACGAGAACCTATCAATCGTGTCAAGATGTTATCTTCATAGCCAAGTTTGAGTAGGATTGTAGAGTAGGATTGTAGAGTAGGATTGTTGAAGAGTTTTGTAGAATAGGATTGTAGAGTAGGATTGTAGAGTAGGATTGTTGAAGAGTTTTTTAGAATAGGATTGTAGAGTAGGATTGTAGAGTAGGATTGTTGAAGAGTTTTGTAGAGTAGGACTGTAGAGTAGGATTCTAGAATAGGATTGTTGAAGAGTTTTGTAGAATAGGATTATAGATTAGGATGGTAATTAAATAAAGTTTCTGAAACATCAACGCATTTGGAAGATTCCCCTCCTTCTGACCCCTTATCATTCCATTCTTTTTCCTTTGCTTGCAAGCCTTCTGATGAAATCCTTTCTTCTACTCTTTTAGTATAGTTTTAATATAATATATATCATAAAATAATAATAAATCAGCCTTCAGAAACATGGAGTCAGATTCTCATCTCTTCTGTGGTCCTGTGAACACCACCACAGCCCACTGGCTGGTTTTGGCACAGCTGTGGTATTTCTAGTTAAGGCAGAAAGGACAATGGCATTTGCAGGAAAAACCAAAGGAATGGGGCAGCAAAGACATCCTGTGCAGATGCAGGCATTGAGCTGTGGCTTGGGAGCATTTGGGCTCCTGCCACTTGGATTTGGATCCCTAAATGCAATCTCTTTGGCAGAAGGAGAGCCTTGCTCAAGTGAGAAAGCAGAAAGATCAGAGAGGGTGCTCAGCAAGGTCTCCTGTGGTGCAGAGCTGTGAGCGCCTGTGAGGTGAGAGCGGGCCCGGCCTTGGCCGGGCTGGAGCCCCAGCAGAGCCCAGGCAGAGGCGGGAGCAGGCTGAGCCCCGGCAGAGGCAGGCTGGAAGGAGGCCCTTGGAGCTGCAAGAGGCAGCAGCCGGGCCCTGGGTGCCTGTTCCTGGGAGCGGGCGAATCCTGCGCTCTCAGAGCCCAGGTGGCAGCTGGCTGCTGCCGAGGGGAAGCGCAGCCGTGCTGGGCACAGCCCGGCCTGGAGGCATTGGCTGTCTGGAGTGTGCCCAGGAGCAGAGAAAGGCCAAGGGCAGCCGAGAGCCGCTGGGCTGGCTGAGGATTCCTCCTCTTCTGCCGGCTGCCCTGCAACTCCTGGCCAAGGTCAGCAGTGTGTGCAGCACTCTGGGCACCGGGGCAGGGAGCCGGGCTGCTCGGCAGGCTGGAGCACAGGGCAGCCTCCTTCAGGCCCGGCACTTCTGTCAGGGGAAGCGAGGCCAGCGTGAGGCAGGGACAGCTTGGCAGGGCGCGTCTGCAGGAGCCAGCGCCTCACACAGCTCTGGCAGGAAGCACCTGCAATCCTGCAGTTCTGCACTCAGCCAGAGCAAAGGTGTGAGATGCAGAGTGTTTGGCAGAAATATTCAGGCCCACCAGGCCAGCCTGCTTTGTGCTCTCTGGCGCACAGCAAGTGCTGTGCAATGCAGCTCTGAGCTGCTGGGAGAGAGGGAGTCGGGGATGTGCCTGAGGTGAGTCAAGGGCTTAGCTGAAAATGTAATTAGGATAATTGAAAAGTGCAGCTGAGTTGAGGGGCCAGCTGGGAATAGAATTGGGATAGCAGAAGATTGCATATTTTAATTAAGATTTTAAAATGAGGTAGGAAGCTAAGTTAGTAATATAGCAGAAATCACGCACCTTAGTTAAAGAGTACCACATATATTAGGAACATAAAGCTAGGAGTGATGGGGATAGAAGAAGCAATTGTGAAGAAGCAGAGACCATAGAAATACCTCGCTTTAAGAATAATTGAACAGTTAGGAGAGGCTTGGACCATGACCAACAGGTCAAAAGGTCTTACCAACTGGCCATGGGAGAAGAGTTCACCATGAGGAAGATGGCTTTCTTCCTCCCATACAACCACTCCCTCATTTCAAAATTCTACAGACCCAGTTAAGGGAGTACAATTGTGCAGCTGTAATAGATATTCAGCTGATAAAAATACGAAGTGGGCAGGTAATAATTATGTATTATGGATCCTTAGAAACCTAATGTAAAACCTTTTCTGTAGAAATAGAGAGCAGGAGTCTGCAACTCCGTGCACGTGTCATTGGAAACTTCTTCATATGTGTCCAGTGCTGCAATAAATACCCTTCTTTTCTACTATAATTATAGTTCTTTTCTACTATAATTAGTTGAAGAGTCATCTGTCCGTGCTTCAAGGGTTATGCTGGAGTAATGAACTGATTTGGAAGGGAACAGAAAAGTTTCAGCAGGCAATTTTTGGAAGAGATGGAAGCCTCTTGTGACTGAAGGGAAAGCCATTTGGAATGGAGTAGTGATCCCAAAGTCCATACAATACTGCACCAAAGGATTAGACCCTTCTCTCTCCAGGACCTTCTAACCGATCCTGCCTAAGTTCTGCTTCTACTGAATATCAGCCAGGGCTCACACCTGTGTTGCAGGGCTGTTCTTCCTCTCAGTACTAATGGCTTGGCTGTCTCTAGCTGACATATTGCTTACCCAAGGTTAGTCTCTTCCATATCCCTTAGAAAAGGATTTTATCTTAGATCCCCAAATTTTGCATGCATGCCTTCATGCAAAAAAACCCTACAACACAAACCTTCAGGAGAATCATGGCATAAAAGCAGATTCCATTGATCAAACCCACAATAACTACATTTAAAAGTGGCTGTATGAGCCTTTCTTCAGAATTTTCTCAATCGTGGCTCCTTAGTATCTTTTGGGAGATAACTATGCTGCCCCTAACAAGTCCAGATTAATTAGCAAGTGCTAATTAGTCATGCATCCAGCTTTCCAGCAGTTGTGTAGCATTTTATCAAGATAACTGGTGCCTGGACATTGCAACCAGCTTGTGATTTGTGTCTGCCCACTTCTTTTCCATGTTCTGAAAAACTAAGAGCAAGTTGAGCCAAGAGCAATCAATAGTATCCTTGTGAGTGCACCTGAACACATTTGACAGTGACACCTCATCCTATTGCCTATATTCTCCCACAGAAGATTCCTTGCTCTTTTTTCTCTGCCACCAATGGGGATCTGCAGTCCCTGCCCGGCACTGCTCCTTGTGGCTTGTCAAGGCAGAGGCGATGCTCTGGTGCACCTGGCGCAGGTGAGCCTCGGGCCCGGGCAGGGACCGATGCTCCGAGCTGCCGCGGATACGGCGGCGAAGGCGAGCGGTGCCGCGGCCTCGCTGGGAAGCCGAGCGGCGCCCGTGGCGCTGCCTCCCCGGGCAGGGCTGTGCTCTCAGCGCCGCCGGGGCTGCCGAGCAGCGCTTTCCACGCGCCTGCGGCTCCGGAGCCAGCCCCGCAGCCGCGCTCTCCCGAACCGCACTGACCCGCGCCCATTCTCGGCCCGGCTGCAGGACTCCCTGATTCCGGGCTCTCCGGCTTCCCGGTCCGCCTGCAGGAGCCTCCTCTCCCGAACTCTCGCCGCTGGGCTCTCTTCTCCCACGTCTTTCCCCCCTTTCCCTGTCCCTCTCCACTCTACTCCGGATCTCCCCCCTGTTCTCAGGTTCTCCCCCATCTCCTGGGTTCTCCCTCCTCTCTCGGGTTTTCCCCAGTCCCGAGCTACCCCTTGTCCCAAGCTCCTCCCTTTCCCAGGCTGTAGCCAGTGCTTTTATTCGTCTCCCTGGATCTGCCCTTCTCCCGATTACTCCTCCCTCTTCCAGGATCTCCCCCCTCTCCCAAGGCTCTCTCCTCTTTCCCCGGCTCTACCCTCTTGGAAGGCAACCCACCCTTTCCCAGGGATCTCACCCCCCCTCTCCTGTGATCTCCCCTACTCCCAGGCTCGTTCCCCTCTCTTGGGATTTCCCCCTCCTCCCAGCATCTCTCTGTTCTCCCGCTCACTCCTCCCTCTGCCAGGTCTCTCTCCCCTCTGCCGGGATCTCCGCCCATTCCCGGAGCGCCCCATCCCCCGGCCCCTCACCGCCCGTCCCTCACCGCCTCGGCCGGGCCGCTCCGGGGCCGCGCTCGGAGCGCAGCGGGGCCGGGCCGGGGCCGTGTCAGCTCCGCGGTGGGGGCTCCTCCGGCCTCGCTCCGGACACGAGGAGCTCCGACCTGTGCTCGCTTTGTACCTTCAAGGCTGCCGGATGCCTTGCAGTGAAGCTGGAGTGCCCGGGCTATTCTGGTCGCTTCTTGTCCTCAGCTCAGCAGTGTTATAAATGATCAATCGAAAGCCAAATTATCAAAAATGCAAAAAGATTTATCTTTTTCTGTCACCAAAATACGATCCTCAAAACCACCACAGCCAAAGAGACAGCATCAAGCCTCGGATCGGCGCTCGGTGAACCTGGATCTGACCTCTATCGCATCGGACTCCCCCTCGATCACGAGAGCCGCTTCTTGCGGGGATATTTTATACAGTTTATTATGCCTGAGGCAAAGGAGTCCAAGTTTCTTTTGTAACTTTTCATAGTTGGTTCTTTCACTTTGCAGAGCTGGACAATCACCGTTTCCTGGTCGACAGCCAGCATTGATCAAATCCAAGAAGTCGCGTATTCACATGCATCTTTCTGGCGACTTTGGCTATCTTGATCGATGTTATCAACAGGGCAATGATCGATGAGATGATCGCTCTTAGGGGATGGCTCGGGAGGGATAACAGTGATCATCACGCTGGGTGCATCTATTCATGAGCTAACTGCCGATTGTTCTCCTGCCACCTTCAGGAACTTCAGAATTTGAATAGACGTCCGCCCCTCTGGCTGCTTGTGGTCTGAGACTTATTTGGATTTTGCAATCTTTATAAAATACATTCTTTTATAGCATCAATTATTTCTAACATATATTGCAGCAGGAAGGTGGTCCCAAGCATGGGTGTGAGGGAGTGTGTGCAGTTTGTGTCCTTGAGTCCCTGTGTGTTGGAGTTTGATGTGTTCACTCTGGCGGTAAATTCTTGGGTGTCATGATTATGAGCCTGGATTTACCCAGGCTTTTAAGTGAAGAGAACATGGAGACATTTTTCTGTGCAGTTCCTAGAAAACAGGTATATTTTCCCTG